ATTGCCAGGCAGCAAGGAGCAGAAAACAAGGGGCGAAAAAGACCCTCGAGAGGGGAAAAAAAATTGTTGCAAAGCCCTCTCGATTGGCGGCAGTAACTCGGTGAGAGCCGCATTTTCAGCGTGAAAGAGGCAACTTAGCGATCTCACACGACAGGTTCAGTGACGTAAGTGTGCGTGTCTTCGCTGCTTAGCATGGGTCAAAAAATTGGACGATTGGCGCTGAGCCAGTCGATCCTAACTCGGGATTAACGATGCAGCCCAACTCCATCCCTTTGATCGAGACCGATGCATGCGCCACCTTGACAGAGCTGCTTCAAAGCAGTGCCTGGCCATTCGGTCTTCTCAGGCCCACATTCCACCATTTGCCATTGCTCCGGGAGGTCTCCCTTCCCTTCCAAGGCCAAGGTCCTAGGGACGCGGACTATGTCCAACTTTGAAGTCATTGTCCGTGTCTGCTAATATTTCGTTGTGATGCATTCTCGGTTTCGACCCCGCTTTGACAAGGGAAGACCGGTTTCTTTCATGCCAGGGGCATGAATGGAACCCCCGGTGTTTGTGTTACCTCCCAAGGAAGGCATCTTGGCCGTTGACGATTCGGTCCTAATATCAGCTTCCCAGAAGTGGCGATGAAAGAAAAAATAGAGAAAATCCTTTTTACGAGGAACCGAATCTATACAGTCCTTGACAGAGGCATTGAATGCAACTGAAACCCTAGGATTCAGGATTTGAGAGGAGCAATCTACGCCGCGCAAATGCATTGGCTCATTACCGGATTTAGATGCTTGAGAGACGATATCTGCCCTCGTTATGATGTCAGGGGAGGATGGGAGGCCAATCAACGGGTTACGCCAGCTCTTCCGAAGCTCGACAATTGAAGTTTGTGCCTTGGAGGATTCCACCACCAGGATTAGATTCCGCGCACAGGGTTGGAATACGGAGTACTGCCACCGAGACGACTTCAACCCGGCGTGGTTTGTGTCTTCGAGTGTGTCGTCCATACATACACGTATTCCTGATGTTTGTACTATTAGCCTGCCAAGAAGAATTTGACATGCTCATCATGCACCATTCGCAGAGAGCACCCTCATCAAGCCGGGGTTCTCATTGATATTATTCTCAGCCGCGTACGCTAAACCTCGAGGATCTGCCACGTCCCGGGGATAGCCCCGGGTCCGTCTTGCCTAGCGCACGCCGGCAGACCGCCTGTCTCTCTCTTTCCCCCCGGTTTCATTTGCTTCTTTCCAGCCGCACTGTCCCGTTGAAACGCCTGCCTTACACAGATCTTCAAGCCATGGCGGTTGGGGACTGACTACTGCAACCTCCCTGTAGCGGCAGATCATCTTGAGATTGAAGGGTCGCGTCCAATCTCGTTATTGGTCGCGTCGTAACTCTCCAGCAATCCAAGAGTTTGAGCTAGAGCCGCGATCTGCCCTCCGGACCTCGGCCGCCAACAGATTCTGATCGACAACCCTAAGCTTCTCCGTCTCCGTTTGCTGTCTCATCGCCACCATACTAATATTTCCTCGGAGATTCTCCCTGTAGGGCAAAGGGTGCTTCGTAGGGTAGCAAAGGGAGGGTAGCAGATAGGAAAAACAAGAAAAAGCAAATAAACGGGAGTCTGGGAGCGGGCTGGTAGGGCTGGTTAAGCGAGTCATGATATCAAAACATTAGTCGTGCATCTCGTCGATCTTCCTCCCACCTGCCTCTGCCCATGCGGGCGATCTCCTCAATTAGTCTCCAGACTAACTTAGACTAAGCGACCGGTGAAATCACGATCCCCGTCGTTGAACCAAACCAAATGTGCTCACACGCTCTTTTCGTTTACACTCACCACTCTTGCCAGATCTGATCTCGCCAACGAATGCTTCAATTGCTTGCTTTTTGCTGACACCAAATTTGTGCCATGTCCCAGCATATTTGGCGGGAATCTAGGCCTGGCCGGAGAGACGTTCTCCGTGATAGCCCCGGGATTTTCTGAGACGAAAGTCCAACTTTTGTTTTTTCCAGCCCCGTGAGCTCCATTTGCTTATTACTCGCGCCGACCGATACAACTCAATGGACCGGAAATTGGTACACCAAGGCTCATCGATATTAACGGTGTGACCTGACCTGGGGGTGAGCTTGCCCTCGTGGCGCCCGTTTTGGACCAAGACTTTGGCAGTTCCGCGGCTACAACCTCATGCTAACAACATGAAATCACATTCACAGAGACCAACGCAACCCCAGTGTTCTATTTCCACGGATGAAGTGGCGTTGTTCCTCAATGTTCCTACTTCGTACATGCAAGGCCAAGGATTCTTTCCCTCGATCAAGATTGTCCACACCTCCCTTTTCGAAGGTAGGACAAAACAAATGCAACCGCCATCACACCATGTGCTGCCATCCATGGATGTCCTGTCGTGCCCCTATTCGATGCTTGTGCTGTTGATGACGTGTAAACCATACGTTTTCTGCGTGTCATCAAGAGGGGAAAGAGAAAAAGAGAATAAGAGAAAACGGAAAGAAGAAAGGAAAAAGAAAGATTGGGTCTCCCGTGTGACACCCGCTTCCTTCCCGCGATTGCCGTCTCGTTGCACGGACATTCCATGCGAGGGCTCTTTGGGCACAGCTTTGGGCATTATGAAGATGACGCGAGGTGTGCGGGTTACATATCCCACTTACGAAAAGACTCTCACCTCGGACTTCATCGTCCGCTAATGTGGTGTGGGAGTGGACGTCGTGCAGAATAGAACGTCCGGCTCGTACATGGCTCTTAGTTCTGTTCGAGCCAATGGGAAGGAGATGACGACCAGAGGTTGGCAGAATGCATCCCGGCGCCCGTTTGGCATGTGGGAACGGGGCGTTGGCTGGCGGCGCTCTGCCGAAGCCGGTGGGCTTACGATTGCTGACAAGCAGGAGACCCAATGCTTCGGCATCGAGAGATGGTGAAGTTGTCTATGGACTATGATTTTCTCATTTGGCTTCTGGGCTAGAACTCATGGTGCAATACGCCTATGCTGTATGAAAATTTGGAGAGAGTTGATTGATGCCTGTTTCTTGAACATACCCCAAGTCTTCGCTATAAACTAGCATTGAACCCTTTGCTACTTCTCGCTTTTTTCGTATACCACATTCCCGTTATATACGCTTCATCAGACAATGCCAATGCTAGAAAAAAAGATTAAAAAAAAACACCTCAGTGCTAACAGCATATCATAGTCAGCCATCAGGTCAAGAAATGACGCTCATTCTCTGTGAGGAAATCGTCCACGTCGACCCTCGTCCGCTCGTGCCCTTCATTCCACAGCCACTGGATCAGTGTCATCTCTCCATGTCAAGTATCTTCGCCTTAGAGGAGTCCGATTTTGCCCAACGTCCCTCCTGATGAACGCTTCTCTGACGCTTCCAGCCTCATGACACACCGATGGCCCCGTGGTCTTATCGTTCCATCTTGTTTCGACCATGATAGCCCAGGTCGGATCGAGCATCGGACCCTCCCCTCCAAAGTCCTGCTAAACATTGAAGATGACTAGGCCAGGAAGAACCTCCACGGAGTAATCTGTAGGACACCGGGGGCACGAATCATGGAAGACGAGCTCTTCGCTAGGTGTATCCGTTCTGAGGTGGTAATCGGGGTCGCATGCCATGGGATGCCTCGTGATCTCAATCCCATCGAATGTCCTGTGTGGACAGAGCGGCATGTTCCTCACAATAGTGGCGCTTCTAGGTTGTTGCTTCTAACTTCTAAAGAGGATGTACCGACCATCGATGATGGCGGGCTGGGCCATGTAGGAGGTGTCCCGCGGCGATATCAAATGGGGGACGAAGTAAGGTGCCAAGAGCTTGTCGAGGTACTTGGCATACTTGGGGTCGCGGTTCCGATGGAGTTTGAGGGCCAGCTGGACGTGGTGTTGTCCTAGGTGGTAGGCTCCAAGCTTAGGACGAGATATGTCGGGTCTACGAGGAGGTAGGACCGTGTTCTGCTGACAAGGGGACCAACGAAAGGACGCGGGCGTGTCTCGGGTGTTGACCACGTGGGTTTCGTAGCAGAGTGGACAGAGGTAGCGATTTGAGACGCAGGCGGACACTCCGGCGAGAAAGGCGATGCGTTCTCGGTAGGTTATTGCGCGGATGGCTATCGTGCACTCGGCGCGGAGTAGGTATCTCAAGGCTCGGCATGTCTTGGAGAGCATTACACGCTCTGCTAGAGGGAGTTTGCAAACGATTGCATGCACTAGCTCTGTGGGGAGGGATAGGAGTGTCGTTCGCTCCGGTGGTGGAGGAGGTCGCAAGAGTTGAGAGAGGTAGATGACAATACAATTGAGGACAGACATTGTCCGGTGAATTATTTGATAAACATCCATAGATCTAACAATACGTCTAGAAAAATTAAGTTCCTGTTGATAAAAAGTGTCTCCCTCGACTCTGAGATGAATGCATCATTGATCCTCCAAAATATTCCATATCCTCGACCGGGAGAAGCAATCCATGCCTCCACCCAGGCTACTCCTGCCCAAGGAAGGTAGCTCCTACCATCCGATCTAGATTCACATGCAGCTGCAGCAGGAACTTGACGTCATCTTCATACAAGGAAAGCGCTTTCTTGTATACACCTTAGCGAGGAAGGCGGAGAGTAGGGAAACGGAAAGAGCGAGGGACCTTCAGCCTGGCTTGGAACATGTGGCAATGGGAGAGGCAAGGCGATAAGGAAGGAAGAGCCGGGATCGCCTTCCTTCTCTGTGATGCGTCGCACTACCTATCTTGCCTCTGTGGATTTTGGCTTGGGTGCTGTCTGCCGGAGAAATCCCTAGCTAGGAAGGAATGTGGTTTTGGTGACGCAGGCTCTGGTGTTCGAAGGCTCTAGATCATGTGCCTTGGCAACCCCAGTGACAGTCCATCTACGACAGGAGGATGAGGCCTTGGCCTTCCATGCAATCAACCCATGCCCAAGCCATAAGAATGGAAAACGAAGTAGGAGAAACTGGCATCATTTACGTCACCGTACCTAGAGTAGCCACAAGATGGGTGAGCCACACTTGTGTGGCATCGCCACAAAGGCTTCGCGAGCTCCGCCGATGGCCACACCTCAGCTCGAAGGTGCCTATGGTTCGTGGAGGTCGTTTCCCATGCAGCCAAGACAGAGGAAACAGTGTCTCCACCGAGCCTGTTGTTGGGAAGGGTGTCATCTCGGCTGAGCCCTGCCTAGCTCTGACCAAGAAAGGTGAGCCGAAGCGAACAGGCGAGCTCTGAACGGGTGAGCTCACCTTCGAAGGACTTAGACAACACCAACCTGGATTAATCGCATCTCAGCAGGCGTCAAGGATGGGTTGCCTCTGCTACCCAATCGAAGACACTCGGCTCGCCATCTTCGTCTCGAGGAGAAAGGACGCATCCGATGATGTTCCAAGAACTTACCAAGGTATCCGTGCCCTCCCGTTGAGAGGCCATGGGCACGTTGTAACGAGGGTTGGAGCGAGCCAACAACCAATCTCCAAGCTTGCTTTCGTAGCCCTACGCTGATATCGAGACGACGCCCCGGCGCGGACGATAAGCTGGGAAGGAACTACTCAATCCGCCATGGAAAACGATAAAGTGATCGAGGCCTCTTGCAGCGGGGGTGCTTGTCTCTCAAGTCAGGCACGCCTTCTAACCTGCCGCCCCTAGCTCGAAGCGCCGAGACTCGTCAATTCACCCTGATGTCACTGGCACATGCATGTGTTTGCTTGCGCCCAAATTTACACCTATGCCAAACGTTGTCTTCTCTTTTCCATGCCTTGGCAGCCGCCATTTCCAGGGCAGCTCCTTCGGATGCCAATAGTCGGTCTGACAGCGATGACCTCATTCTTTGTGAGGGTGCCGGCACGGCCCTTCCCCTGACCATCATCGTAGAAGACTTCTTTCCTCTGATCAATGTTATGGACCGCAACAACTCGACCGGGCCCGTTGATCCGGACAAGGTGGACGCCGAGAAGCGTGTGACGGTCAATCAATCGGAAGATCAAGGGAACTTCCGCTCCTCCAAGTTCACTGGGACCACACTCACCCATCTCAACTTCAGTGGATGAGTTCGTATCAACACCCACTTCCACAAGAGAGTGTCGCGACGCGCCAGTCTGCAGCCGCATGCGTCGTCGGTGATGATGCTCGTCGACCTCGCATTTTGAAGCGCCCGAGCAAGAGCGTTGGCAAAATCAGGCCACGCAAGTCGCATAGCAAGACCGTTGGCGAATCGAAGTGGAGCTTGGACATTCACGATTCTCAAAAAGGGACAAGCATATGGAATGCCAAGTCCAGGTCAAGAGCAACTTCGGTCTGTCGGCCATTGCAGATTTTGCGATTAAGGTTGCTGATATCTTCAAGAAGCGGGGTCCTGTCATTGATACTGGGATTGCTCTAATCCGATTTGAGGAAAAGGAAAGAAGCGTGGGATAGAGGGGGTTCATCAGAGGCCTAAGGCAAGCGATGCTGTGATGGATTTTGGTGAACGGTTATGCGCCATTTCTTACTGGTCCCCTTTTCCTCATCACATTTGTTGCTCTAGCTTCCAACTAATCCTGGTTCGGTATTTGCATGGAATCGCGCGATGAATGCCCAGAATTTTTCGTGGTCCCATGATGATGAGAATCTCACTAGCATCGTGACGAGAACCCAGCGGTGAGAGAGCGTCACTTCCCAGCCATGCATGAGCTCACTCGATCCGTGGAGAAATTTCCTGGTTGCTCAATGATGGCTGGCATAGGTGGGCAATTTTCTGTCTGTGCCCGATTGCAGAGCGTCGCACCCAAGATGACCCGGCCAGATCCGGGATTCTTACAGGGTTGCCTCCATCGTGATTGGGCAGAGGCGGGAAGTGTGAGCGGCTCGTCACTGAAAGTGGGCGCTAACACGACCATTGAGAGAGGATCTTCCGTGCCGTCACCACCGTCCCCGCATGGAGTGGATCGTTAGTTTCTCGAGGCTTACCAGGAATGGGATCTTGGCCATGCAGCTCGAGTGCTCGCTTCTATTAATACCATCAATTTTACCACGTTACCGCTAGTTCACGAACCACTCTTGGGACTTCCTTGTTCACTATTCCCTTCTCGGACGATTCGACGTGATATCTTCTCTAGCGCCAGGATTTCGACGGCGCAATCAGAGAGGGGGACTGGACTGGTCGTCGTCGGGCGACTAAGATGATTTACAAAATGAAGGCCTCGCCGGCCGCCTGATGGGCCACCCGGGTTTCTCTCGGGTTTCTTGACCCAGAGCAATCTCAGTTTGGTAAGATCACGGTCTTGTTTTCTGGCCTCGACTATCACCCTCGACCTCTTTTCCGAGGCGAAGCGCCACCGCTTGTATATACCCCAAACCGTGCTGGCTGCGGTTATTGTCTGTCCATATCGCCCTGTCCCTGCTTTTTGCTTGTTCCCACACGCGCTACTCCCGGGTTCATAATTACCGGGCTCCCTAATCTCATCGCGGTTCTTGAAACATCTCTTTTTCTTCCCACCGTGCGACACCAATTACACATTCAGATGACGATGGCTCAATTACTACGCATCGTATCTGTCTTTCTCGCGATCGCGAGTTGGCACGTTGTTCTTGGCTTCCAAGTCACTCCTGGATCGCCATGCGCCTCCATTTGCGATGTTCCAGTGTCTCCTGAGGCGACCGGGAACTCGTCTGAGATCGTGTGCGGTGATGAGGCTATCCGATCCACAGCGGCGGGTGTGCGGATGAAGGCTTGCTTTACATGTCTAGAGTCGAGCACGCACACCAACGGATCGGAGACTGACCAGCAATGGCTTCTCTGTAAGTAATCAGATTCTCTTTCATTCCTTTCCTATGTTCAATTAGACTTGGGTCACTGACTTGGCTTGCGATACAGACAATCTTAGAATGACTCTAGCAACTTGCGTCTTTGAAGTGCCCCCGGCGGAAGGCGAGCCCAAGTCGACGTGCGCTGCCGATTTTACCTGCTCGCCCCTCCGAACCGCTCTTTTCCCCACGGAGTCCAAGGGAAACAACGGCGGGTATGAGTTCTGCGACGTCTCTGATGATGGGTTCAAATCGCCGAATCTACAAACTTGCATCGGCTGCCTCGAGAGCAACAAGAATGAAGTCTATCTACTGAATTGTATGGCCACCTTTCCCTGGCATTCTCGACTCAGCAAAGTACTAACGCCCACCTAGTCATGAACGTCCTCGCAGCTGCGTGCGTTTACAAGCCCAAACCTGGATCGCTCCTCATTCGAAGCGGCCTCTTCTCCACCGACGGCGTCGAGATCGTCGTCCCGGAGGCCGAAAACACCTCCGAACCCTCCCCAGCGCCGACCACGACTACCGAAACCACCCACAGGACCGGCCTCACCCAGGTGCAAACGATTGCCATCATCGCCGCGGTCGCCGGAACGATAGCTTTGGCCGCCGTCCTCTTCACCGTCTACTTCCTCATGCGCCGACGCCAAAATCGCATGGAAGCCGCCCTCCGAGCCCAGCAATCGGAGCGAGCCCCGCCGACGAATCCTTACCCCCTCATGACTGAGGTCCAGCAGCAGGGGAAGGAGGAGGGCGCATCTCCGTCGTCGTACTCGACTGTGAGCAGCTTCCACAGCACGTGGACTTTCGACCCCAAGTTGTGCAGCACTGCTACTCTATCCTGGACTGACGTCTCCGGGATGAACACTACGAGTAACATTCCGGTGCATCCTGCCTATGTTGCTAAGATTCCTGGGCGCAAGAGCCATGCGCCGGATGAGCCTGGGAACATTGTGTAAAGATTTGTTTGGTTTATTATTGTTGTTCCGTTTTTATCGATACCCCCTTTCGTTATTTTCTTTTTTTCTCATTTATTTTTCTCACTCTTTTTTTTCTTTCTTTTTTTTTTTCTTTTACAAATTTTTTCATACATGTATATAGATATGCACCTTGTCTGTTGTTTCTGGTGCATCCATTCACTCAACGAAGGTTCTTGATCCCGCCAATCGCTCGACCTTGAGATGGAGTTGGAACATCGGGCGACTAGGGGAGGAGCATAAATTTTGTGGAATGATGAGGCATACTTGCTCATGACTGGATTGTTTAATTTAATAAGAGGGAGAGGCCTACGCCGTTGAGGTCATCACCGGCAACGGTTTGAGGCCTATGGAATCTATTGGAGGATTATCATGTACTAGTAGGATCAATTGACATATTCAAGAATAGCATTTGAAGAGGGCCATTCGAATCTTGTGTGTTGAAAAGAATTCCCGCAGTCTTCCCTCTGTCAACTAAGAGGAAAAACCATCCAGCGGAAATGGAGATACATCCCAAGCCTTGGAGTCGAGAATGGTGACAGGCTGTGGTCATGAGAAGAAGCATGGGCACAAGTTTCTCAGCTGCTGGCCTCCAGTCGCTTGCGGCGAAGACGTCAGCACAGAAAAGTTTAGCGCCCGCCCTGCGGTGTATTCAAGTAAGGAATCCTGCGACTTGGGGAAAAGGGGAATCACGGCGTAGCGATGATTCGACAAAAATGGGTAGTTAAGTGCGTGCACAATGACGAGCCGGCGCGTACCTGCATTCCGCCCGTATGTTCGTGTGCGTCATACTCAGGAGAAGGGGACCCAACGGGGCGTTGCCCCGTTCAATGAGAAGGAGATTGAGCCAGAGCGTTGGTTCGCGAGCCCGCCTGGCTGCCGTCACCTTATTTGTAGATGGCGGAGGTGAAGGTTATGGTAGATCCGTGGAACCTTCAACAGCGTTGAGGGGATGAAAGTTTAAAAAAGAAACAAACAAACAAATAAATAAATAATATAAATAGATAAAAAATATATGGCAAACTTTTGCTAACACAAGGTGCAATAATATGAATCTGGAGTTGGAAATGGTTGAATCGCTCGGGATAATACTCGATTGGGTGGCCAGGTCCAGGCCCAGGCCGTTGCTTCGCAGCCATCCGAGACAGCGGGACGGACCATTCGAATCCCTTTGATGCTGTACCACCCAACTGGCACCATCCTGGCGGTTGGAAGAAATCCGTGCACTTGGCTCAAGCAGGTGTTGGTGCTGAGCCAAAGTAGGCGTCCGATTACGGCATGCAAGACATGCGAGAGTGCATGACACTGATTAGGGATGGGGACCTGACTGGCCTGGGCTTTGGCTGGCCCATTCTCGCTCAAAGCACGCGACATCTGTCTTCCTGTCATGAGCAACGCCCGTAATTTTTGACGCCATAATCATGGCCGGGCCCTATTATCGGAGGTGCAGGATTTCACCGCGGCTCTGCCGCTTCCGTGCTCCGCTCGGGTCCGGGCCGAGAGAAGAGCCGGGCGGGGAGAAGAAAAAATATTTGAAAAAAAAAAAAAAAAAAAAAAAAAAAAAAA